GGGGGGCAGAAGGGGAGGGGGCAGGAGGGCAGGGGGGCAGAAGGGGAGGGGGCAGGGGGACAGGGGGAAGGAGGGCCAGGGGGACAGGAAGGGCAGGGGGAAGGAGATGGGGGGCAGGGGGGCAGAAGGGGAGGGGGCAGGAGGGCAGGGGGAAGGAGGGGCAGGGGGATAGGAGGGACAGGGGGGCCCAGGGGAGGGAGATGGTGGGCAGGGGGACAGAAGGGGAGAGAGATGGGGGGCAGGGGGACAGGAGGGGAGGGGGCAGAGGGCAGGGGGACTGGGGGAGGGTGATAGGAGGGCAGGGGGAGGGGAGCAGGGGGCAGAGGCAGGGGAGGAGAGGGGACTTGAGGGAGGGGGGCAGGGAGGGAGGGGGCAGGAGGGCGCTGCCAGCAGGTGAGACCCCCGGACCGGAGCCAGCCAGGGCATGGGGCCTGCCTGCTCCCAGGGAAGTCTGGGGGGAAGAGTAAGTGTTGCATTTGGGGGGGGGGGGGAGCAGGCACCTCATTGAGTCATTTTCAGAGCCGGGGGAGAGACTCCTCAGCCCGTCTGTCTGGCACCTGCTGGGGGCAAACCACAGCCTCTGCCCAGATGTGGGGCAGCCGTTTGGGGGCGGGGGCGGGGGCCGCACTTCCAGCTTTGCTGTCCTCGGGTCTGACCACCCGGGCCCCCCGCCCCGGCCCCCCACCCCTGCCCCCCCGCCCCCGCCCCTGCCTACCTCGTCAGGTGTGTGCTGTCCACATCTCTGCTTCCCTGCTCTCACCCCCAGCCATGGGTCCCCCTTCCTGTGCCCCCCTGTACCCCCCCGTCACTGAGGCTGGGGGCCCCATGGGGGGGCAGGCCGCTCGGCCGAGGCGGGAGGCCTGTGGCAATGACCTCTGAGTGAACGGCACCCAGGCTGGCGGGAGCCGAGTCACCCGCCCGCTCTGCCACCCCCTGAACTCCCCAGATCACTCAGCACCCGGCCGGTTCCCACACGGCGCCCGGGAGCGCGGGGTCAGGGGCGAGGAGGAAGCTGAGAATGAGTCAGAGAACAGATCACACCCCTGCCAGCATGCCCAGGTGCCCGGTGCCCAGGGCTGACCTTTCGTGACCCAGCTCCCCTCTCTCTCTCTCTCTCTCTCTCTCTCTCTCTCTCTCTCTCTCTCCCCCCCCCCCCCTTCCCTCTGGTGTCTGGTGATAATGGAGAAGCGGGGCAGGGGTGGCTGAAATGGATGGTTCCCAGGACCCATCCTGGGCCGGGTCTGCCCACACACCGCAGCTCACCAGAACTTTCCAGAACCCAGTTCCTTTGCTCTGAGAGGCTCAGGAGGCTGGGAGTTCCCACCCCCCACCGCCCCACCCCCCGACTCGGGGCCCAGGATTGTGAAAGGCCCTTGAAAATGGAAAGCTCAGCCCAGCGTGGCCCAGGTGTTCAGCATTGACCTGTGACCCAGGAGGTCAGGGTTCGATTCCCGGTCAGGCCCAGGTTGTGGGCTCCATCCCCAGTGTGGGGCGTGCAGGAGGCAGCCGGTCCAGGATTTGCTCTCATCATGGATGTTTCTCTCTCTCTCTCTCTCCCTCCCTTCCTCTCTGAAATCAATCAATCAATATATATATATATAAAAGAAAAAGTTTACAGAACATTGCGAGACTAAAGAAATGGAGGAGGGGCCAAGACCGGTGTGGCTCAGTGGATAGAGCGTCAGCCTGCGGACTGAAGGGTCCCGGGTTCGATTCCGGTCAAGGGCATGGACCTTGGTTGCAGGCATATCCCCAGTGGGGGGTGTGCAGGAGGCAGCTGAGGGATGACTCTCTCTCATCGATGTTTCTAACTCTCTAGCCCTCTCTCTTCCTCTCTGTACAAAATCAATAAAATACATTTTAAAAAAAGAAATGGAGGTGGGGAAAAGGATGTGAAATCTTTTTTTTTTTTTCCCTAAATATATTTTATTGTGTTTTTTTTTCTTACAGAGAGGAAGGGAGAGGGAGAGAGAGCTAGAAACATCCATCTGCTGCCTCCTGCACACCCCCCACTGGGGATGTGCCCGCCACCAAGGTCTATGCCCTTGACCGGAATCGAACCCGGGACCTTCAGTCCGCAGGCCAGCGCTCTATCCACGGAGCCACACCGGCCAGGGCTGTGTGCCTTTTATAAAACGGGCAGGAGGTTGTCCGCCTTCGTGGTGTGTCATATCGTTGCACATGAAGACACGGCTCACGGCCGCGCCCCCCCCCCCCCCCCCGCAGGCCCAGCCGCGGGGCAGGCGTGGATCGGAGGGAACACGCTTCGATCGGGGACGCGGGTCAGGGACGCAGCTGGCATCTGATCAGGCAGCAGCGAGAGGAAAAAAAACACCGAACAGCAAAACAGCCGCTCCAGGCCGGAAAGAGCGAGAGATACTTTGTTTCGGCGGCGCTTACAGACCCACAGATAGCAGGACCGCTATACCCCCTCCGCGTGGGGCTTCAGAGGCACGCTGTCGCCCTATGGAAGGTGTCGTTTTCCAGTCTCTCGTCACACCTGCATGACACCGGGGCACCCAGCGCCTCCAGAACGGCCTCCGTCTGACACCGGCCGCCGTCTGACCCGAGGTGAGGCGTGCGGTTCCTGGGCCCTGGCTGTAGATACACTGACTCCTTCCTTCCTTCCTTCCTTCCTTCCTTCCTTCCTTCCTTCCTTCCTTCCTTTATTTCTTTCTTTCAAATATAGTTTATTGATTTTTCACAGACAGGAAGGGAGAGGGGTAGAGAGCTAGAAACATCGATGAGAGAGAAACATCCATCAGCTGCCTCCTGCACGCCCCACCCTGCGGATTGAGCCCACACCCCCGGCCTGTGCCCTTGACCAGGAATCAAACCCTGACCTCCTGGTTCCTAGGTGCTGGCTCAACCACTGAGCCACGGGGAGCTGAGCAAAATCACCATTCCTTGTCCGGGAGAGTCAGGCTGAGGCTCGAAGGACCCCCTCCCCCCAGGCCTGAGCCCTCGGGCAGGAGAGAGCCGGTTGGCCCGGCTCCTGTCCCCCCCCTCCTTCCTCCCCTCCCCCCCCCCACCCCAGGCTAAGGCTTGCCTCCCTTGGGGAAAATTCCTGAGTTCCTTTAGGGCAAATCCGATTAACTCAAAAGTCCCCTGAACCCCACAAAATGAAAGGCCAGCATGCAAAGCAACAAGCATTTATTTGAGATCAAAAGGGGAGCAGATTCTGGAAGCGCCCAAAGGGTGCCGGGCTTCGGAGGCCAAGGCCAGGGGCATTTCTGAGAAAGCAGAGGGGACAGGAGCATCCAGACAATCACAGCCACCCTCCTGCTAAACAGCGTTTTCAGTTCCAGTCCCGAAACCACAGCGTTCGTTTGTTATCTTTACAAACAGCTCTTAGAGATACAAGGATGAGGTCTGTTACCTTTGCAGCTGGCTCTTAGGGATACAGTGTTGCCGCTTTTACCTTTGCAGCTAGCTCTTAGGGAGAGATACAACGTTGCCATTTTACAACTAGCTCTTAGAGATACAATGTTGCCGCCAGCCCAGCCCAAGGGTTCTTTTGCCCCAAAGGTTTGAGGCATAAGAACGGCCAAGGCAGTTCCTCTGGAGACCACCTCCGACTTCACTATGAAGTGAGTGATTCCATTTATACAGGGTTTTTTGTTTTTGTTTTTTTCACAAACACTGAATTTCCAAGCGCCCCCCCCCCCCAACCTCAAAGGCGCCGAAAACCCCACACACCTGCCCCGGGCAGTCCCAGCACCCACAGCAGACAGAGCCCGGCGCCCAGGTGAACCCCACAGGGCACAGCCCCCCTTTGAAGTGACACCTGGCCAGCTGGCAGGTGCCCTTGCATCTGTGTGTTGTTGTTTGTTGTTGTTTTTTCTCTGTGACCTTCAACACGGGAAACAAACGTCCTTTAAAATAAGAAGAGCCGACAGGCCGTCGCTGGCCTCGGGACTGCTCCGCCCACGTGGATGCGGCGAACGCCCACGGTGGGGGGGGGGGGGGACGGCCCCAAATCCTCAGGGGCCTGAGGCCAACCTCAGGGGCCCCGTGGAGTGTGGTCTGACCCCCAGTTCAGCCGCCTCCTGACACTCATGTCACTGCCGCTGCTCAGCACAGAGGCGAGGCCTGAGGGCGGGCGGGCGGCGGGGAGGCACCCCGAGACCCCGGTTCCTGGGGTCCCAGGTGAGTCCACGGACCAGGGCCCCGCTTCTGGGGAAACCCGTCCCCGGGCGGCGATGCGGGGCCAGTTGGTTCCCAGGGTTTGGGGGAACTTTGAAAGCGAAAATCTGAATTAACGGTGACTCATGACGGGGCGACGTCGCCAGAGATGACACCCAAAGGGCAGCCCGTTCCCACCGGCTGGAGGTTTTTGGCGTTTTGTTTGGAGGGATCCCCGGTCTGGTGTGTTTCTCAGCAGACGGTGGCTGTTGGAGGGGCCAGAGACGCGGCAGCTGGAGATGGCGGCTTCGGGGCTCTGGGCTGGATGTTCCGGGGCGCCGCGGGGACCCGCTCCCCGGTCCTTTCCCTGGCGAGCCCGCGGGGGTCCCCGCCGCTGTCCGCTGGTTTCCCCGGATCCTGAAGGGACTGGAGAGCCTGGCAGGGGCTGCAGGAAGCGCTGAGGTTTGGAGAATGAAGGATGAAGACGGAGGAGACACGGGGTGCCCCCCGGTGCGCGCGGAGGGGGCCCCCTGCTACCGGCGGAGGAGACGCCCTGGGGCTCCGGCCGTTCCCGGGCCCTCCATCCATCCATCCATCCGCTGGGCCGGGGCCGCTACGCGCGGGTCAGGGTCAGGCTCTCGGCCCGCGCTCGCCCCTCGCTGCTGTTCGCTGGATTCACGGGATCCTGAAGGGGCTGGAGATCCTGGCAGGGGTTGCAGGAAGCGCTGAGGTTTGGAGGAGCCGCCGCCGACGACGATGGAGGAGACGCGGCCCCCCGGTGCCCGCGGAGGGAGGCCCTGTGCCTTCGGAGGAGACGCGCGGGGGACCCGGCCGCCCCCGGGCTCTCCATCCATCCATCCGCTGGGCCGGGGCCGCTACGCGCGGGCCAGGTTCCGGCTCTCCGCCCGCGCTCGCCCTCCGCTGCCGGCCGCGCACCGGCCCTCGGCGCTGGGGTCCCCCTCGGAGCGGGAGGACGCGGAGCTGAGCCGGCGCCGGGCCAGGCGCCAGGCCCGCGCGCGGAAGGAGCGGTCCAGCAGCAGGTAGATGAGCGGGTTGGCGCAGCCGTGGGCGAAGGCGAGGCAGGTGGCCAGCGCCAGGCCCCCGCGCAGCGCACGCAGCAGCGCGCAGGACACGGGCAGCGCCCGCAGCCGCGCCAGGTGCAGGGCGGCGCGCAGGGCGGCGAAGGGCAGCCAGGCGCCCACGAAGGCGCCCTCCACGGCGCACACCATGCGCAGCGGCCCGGCGGGGGTGCGGCGGCGACGCAGGCGGCAGCCGAGGCGGCAGTAGCAGAGCAGCGAGGCGGCCAGGGGCAGCGCGCAGGTCAGCAGCAGCAACCCCAGCCCGATCGCCTGCCACGCGTCCGCCGGCCCCTCCTCGCACTGGCTGCCGCCGCCCGGCCGCGGCTGTAGGTCCCGGGCCGCCAGGGCGGGCAGCCCGGCCAGCAGCGCCGCGGCCCAGGCCGCCCGGCACAGGGAGCGCGCGCACCGCGGGGAGCGCAGCGGCCGCGCCCCCACCGGGCGCACCACGGCCACGTAGCGGTCCGCCGCCAGGCCGGCCAGCAGCAGGGCCCCCGCGCAGCGCGACGCGGCCACCGCGAAGCTGCTCAGCTTGCAGAGCGCGCGGCCGAAGGGCCAGCGGCCGCCCGCCGCCGCCGCCGCCGCCCAGAGCGGCAGCGTGAGCAGCAGGCCCAGGTCGGCGGCCGCCAGGTGCCAGGTGAAGGTGTCCGCCAGCCTCACCCGCGGGCCCCGCCGCCGCCCCGCCAGCAGCCGCAGCACCAGCGCGTTGCCCGGCAGGCCCAGCGCGCAGGCCGCCAGGTAGAGCGCGGGCACCAGGACTCGCGCGTAGGGCAGCTCCCCTGCCGCGCACAGAGCAAGCTCCTCATCCAGGGCGCCCCACCCGGACCCGGACCCGGACCCGGACCCTGAGTCCTCCCAGGGCGCCGGGCTGGAGCTCCAGAGCGCGGCAGGGGGCATGGCGATTGGCTGAGGCCTGTGCGCGCCCAGGAGGCACCCAGGACGCAGCGCGGGGCGCAGGTGGCGGGCGGCAGCTCTGTGGGTGCCCAGCACCTCCCTTCCTGCCTCCCAGGCCCAGGGGATGGGTGGGCAGGAAGGGGGTAGTGGAGGGAGGGAGAGGGGGGAGGGGTGTGGAGGAGGAGGTGGGGGGAGGGACAGCTCCACGGTGCAGGAATGGAAACTTCTCCATGGCTGGGGCCTTGGGGCTTCGGGGCTGGGAGACCCGCCTGGCCGCCACAGGGAGCCCCCTGATGTGAGGGTGCAAGAGCGGGGGTGCCCCAGAGCCCCCCAGGCCCCGGCCGATGTGTGCACAGGTGCGGAGGCTGGAGCGTGGACATGGGGCCTCGTCTGCACCCGGCCACGTCCGGCAGGGAGGCTGGGCCGGCGGGGAGCCTGCCGTTGGGGACCTGCCTCGGACCCAGGGGCTGGCGGGTCAGCAGTGCCCAGGTGCATTGGACCTTTAGCGGGTCTCCCTGTGGTCCGGGCCTCAGGGCCCCGGGGGGGCCTCCAGGGAGGCCTTAGGGAGCCCCAGGCCCCGCCCTGACCGCTGAGCCGGCCAAAATGTAGCCAGCACGGGGTCTACTGAACAGATCCAGCTCCTCCATCCTCACTGAGACACCCTCCCTCCCTCTTCCGGACATGTCGGGGTAAACGTCTGAATGCACAGTGGCCTAAAAAAACAAACATATACAGCCCTATCCGGTGTGGCTCACTGGATAGAGCGTCGGCCTGCGGACTGAAGGGTCCCAGGTTCGATTCCGGTCAAGGGTATGGACCTTGGTTGCGGGCACATCCCCAGTGAGGGGCGTGCAGGAGGCAGCTGATCGATGTTTCTATCTCTTTCCTACCTCTTTGTAAAAAATCAACAAAAAAAACACACACATATATATGGCCTTTTTAATTGATTTCAGAGAAGAAAGGGGAAACATCCCTGAGGAGGGAGAATCACTGATTGGCTGCCTCCTGCATGCCCCCTACCCAGGCCCACAACCCCAGCCTGTGCCCTTGACCAGGAATCGATCCGTGACCCCCTGGTTCATAGGTCAATGCTCAACGCCTAAGGCGTGGTCGGCAAACTGCGGCTCGCGAGTCACAGGCGGCTCTCTGGCCCCTGGAGGGCGGCTCTTCTCCAAAACACCACGGCCTGGGCGGGTCTGTGTGGAAGACGTGGCTTTAGAAGGAGTTTAAGTTTTAAAAACGTGGCTCTCCAGAGACACATCCGTCGTGGTGCTATTGGTATTTGGCTCTGCGGACGGAGTTTGCCGACCACTGGTCTGATTCAAACCAGGGCCCTTCCGAGTGTCTGTGGGGCCTGGTCTGCCCCCATCCGCCTGGGCCCGGCCAGGCCGGCTCTGGGGGTGAAGATCGCCCTCCCCCGGGGGGTCCCCATGGCCCAGGCGGGTGCTCTCCGGGCCGGGCCTCTTACAAGATGGAGGAAGGCAGCGAGAGGGGAGCTGGGGAACCATGGGTGCCTGCTCCTCCCTCCAGAATGTTCCAGCCGCCAGGCGTGGGTTTCCCCTGATGCCCCCACACCCAGGGCGGGGAGCTCTGAGGGCTGGGAGACTCGGAGACCTTGCCCTGGTGTCTGACCCCACAGGTGCCGGGGTTGGCACCCACATCCTGGTGGCCTGGGGGGAGCCTACTCCCCTGATGGCACCAGGCAGCGCCCGCTTGCCAGACCCAGCGCCCACAGGCATCACCCACCCTTGGGCACCCTCTGCCTGGCGCCCCCAAAGCCCAGGGGTTCTGACATGGAGAAAAGACACCAGTGAGACGGGAGGGAGCCGCCAGGGGAAGGAGAAGACGGGAGCGGCCGAGCAGGGTGGGGAAGTGGAAATGGTTGTTTATTAAAAACACAGATTCTGGCTTCCTGGGCTGTGGTCTCGCACCCGAGGGAAGGCGGGGCCCAGGCACACGCGGCTTCTCTCTGCGGGGCCCGGCCCGGGGCCTTTGGGAGCCTGTGTGTGTGTGTGGGGGGGGGGGGGGGTGATCTTCTGAGGGCAGGAAGCGGAGGGGCCCGGCCGGCCCTGGTGGGCGCCCGCTCGTGGCCGGGGACCCAGGCCCACTTCCTCCTTCCCCACGGGAGGAGAAGCCAATCCATCAGGGACACCATCCCCGCTCCGAGGGGCCTGAGTGCCTGCTGCTGGCGGGGGTCCACAAAGCCAAGCAGCAGGGCCCCTCTCCCCTCCCCTCCCCTCCTCTCTCCTCCATTCCTCTCCCCTTCCCTTCCCTCCCCTCCCCCCCTCTCATCCTCAGGGCTTCTCTGTCCATCACGGTGAGTGGCAGGTGAGGCAGACACACCCAAGACACAGGCAGCTGATGCCCCAACCCGGACTGCTTTCAGGGTAGATTTTACTTCCGCCCCTTGTTTACTTACAACTCTCCCCTCCAATTAAAATATATATATATATTTGCCCTGACCGGTCTGGCTCAGGGCAAATATATATATATTTTGGATAGAGCATTGGCCTGCGGACTGAAGGGTCCCGGATTCAATTCCGGTCAAGGGCATGGACCTTGGTTGTGGGCACATCCCCAGTGTGCAGGAGGCAGCTGAGGGATGTTTCTCTCATCGATATTTCTTTTTCTTTTTAATAATATATTTTACTTATTTTTTACAAAGAGGAAGGGAGAGGGGGAGAGTTAGAAACATCCATGATGAGAAACATCCATCAGCTGCCTCCTGCACACCCCCTCACTGGGGATCGAACCCACAACCGGGGCGTGTGCCCTGACCGGGAATCGAACCGTGACCTCCTGGTACCTAGGTCGATGCTCCACCCCGGAGCCACAGCGTGTGTGGTTTAGCTTCTCTGTGCCAGCCCCGGCGCGGTGAGAGGGCAGAAGCCACATCACCACCCAGGTCTCTGGGTTGCAGGGGCCCCGGGCCGTGGCCGGCATCACAGAGACCCTGTCCCATGGCTCCCCCCTCCTGGACACACGCGCTCTCTGCACACAGTGGGGTCGCAGTTCACTAGGCCCGAGGTCCTGGGCTGAAGGACGGAGATGGCTACCAGTTCAGTTGCTGCCAGTCGACAGTGTGGGGCCCCCTTGCAAAGCCACCTCCTCAGGGGCCACGCTCTCCTGGCTGGGGTCGGGGAATCAGTGACCGAGTGGCCGCTTGATGGGGTTTCCTGCAGACCACACACCCGGGGAGGTGGTGGCCGTGTGTGTGTGTGTGTGTGTGTGTGTGTGTGTGTGTGTGAAGGCCTGGTGGGCACCAGGGGGGATTTAGACGCTCGGCTCTCACTGGCAGGCTCCGCACAGGCGCTGGTGGAGGGTCTCAACGTGAGCCCCGGGCCCTGGTGACTCAGCAGGAAAGCCGTGGCTGCAGCCATGTGGCCCCGGCCTCACTCCCCCCGCCCAGCCCCTGGCAGGTGGGACAGGGCAGGGAGAGGCAGCCAGGCCGCCAGGAGCCATGCAGGCGAGCCGACCCCTCAGAGGCCTCAGGGGCGGCGCTAGGGGGTCCCCGACACAAAGGCCGAGGATTTGCTTGGTGAGGCCCGCCTCCCATCTGGCCCCTCCTGGACCAGCACACACACACACACAGATACACACACACACACACACACACACACCTGTGAGCACACGCATGCACACTCACACACTCCTGTGATATCACACACACGCACACACGTGTGAGCACATGCGTGCACACTCACACTCCTGTGATATCACACACACACTTGCACGCACACACACACACATGCGAGCATGTGCGTGCACACACACACTCCCGTGATGTCACACACACACACACACACACACACACACCTCACACACACCTACGCGCACACACACACAGCTGGCGGCTGGCAGGTGGAGACAGAACTGCACGACGGGTTCCCCTGAGCCCACGTCTCACTCGGGACGCGGCCTCCGGTGCCACGCGCAGAGAGCATGGTGTGCCGGGACACGGCCGATGCTCACAGCACCAGGAAGCCCCGGGCAGGGCCGGGCCGGCCTGGCTCTCGGCGGCCAGAGGACACGGCGCCCATCACCCCCGCCCCAGGCCGCGAGGGCGGGAGGCTCCGGAGCGGGCACCCGGCTCCGTGCGTGTCGGCCGGCCGGTCGCCGGGAACCCCGGGGCTGCCGAGCCCGTGATCTGCCTCTGACTCTCCAGACGTGGTTTTCAGAAACGGCTGCTCCGTGAGATAAAAACCCACAGACGGTGAGACACGCCCACGCCTCCTGCTGAGGAAGCGGATGCCGCCCGAGGGGGGCGGGCGGCCACGGGACCCAGCGCGCGGGAGACCGGGGGGCGCTGCTCGCCGTGCCGCCGCCTCCATGGACCTGCGTCCGGTCGTTGGAAGGTTAACGTCCCGGGCAGCACGAGGAGGACGCTGCGGAGTGAGATCCGGTTTAAGAGGCCAAAGGCAGCCCTGGCCGGCGCGGCTCAGTGGACGGAGCGTCGGCCTGCAGACCGAAGGGTCCCGGGTTCGATTCCCGGTCAGGGCACAGGCCCAGGCTGTGGGTTTGAATCCCAGGGTGGGGTCTGCAGGAGGCAGCCGATCCAGGATTCTCTCATCTTGATGTTTCTCTATCCCTCTCCTTTCCTCTCTGAAATCAATAAAAATACGTTTTTTTTAAAAAAGGACAAATGTAGTTCTGTAAAACGCTCACTAGTTCGCTTTCTGGTGTCTGTTTACCACATTTCAATTCGGTTTATTTAACCTAAACGCCATTTGACAGCCGTGTTCCCCCTAACGTGATACACCGGACGGTCACGCGTGTATTTCCCCGTTTTAATGCGCACGTCACACACGGCGTGTGTCCACTTACAACACGAGAGCCACGCGGCCCCTCTCACATGCAGACAGCAGGTCAGGCGCAGTTTGAGCTACACACACATCTTGCACAGATACTGGGGGGGAGGGGGGGAACCTGTGAACGCTTTACAGCTTTAACAAATATACATAAATATGAGGACATAAGTTACAATATCGACAGCATCGAGGACGTTGGTGACAGACTCGGGGCGGCCCCGTCCGACATCCAGCCCGCTCCCTTCACTGCGGGCGCGGGTCTCGGGAGATGCTAGTGACATAACCGCGCAGCGAGTCTCCATCCTCCCGACACGCCCAGGCCACTGTACCCACACGCCCAGGCCACGTGACCGCCCAGGCCACATGACCGCCTGCATCTTCCTGAGACGAGGCTGCCTGGCGACACCCACGCCCACGGCAGGTGTGGGGTCGCTGAGCTGCCCGCGCGGGGGGGGGGGGGGGGGGGGGGATAGAGAAGAGCGAACGTGAGGAACGCGGGGAAGCTGCTTTAAATGGAAGTGTAGCCCTTGGACAAGTGTACGTTCTAACGGAGTCTGGACGTCGGTTATAAATAAGAGAAGGAAAAGGGCCGCCCCGCCCGGCTCAGGCCCGACCCGGGCAGAGAGCGGACAACACTGATCACAGCAGGCACAGCGGCCCTCCCCCGGAGCCGAGGGGCCTTAATACTGTGAGGGGTGGACACACGGGAACACTCAGGGCCGTCCCGGCGTCGGACACCAGGAAATACGGGGGCCGTCAGCCCGACACGCGTTCCCCGAGTCTCAGGAAGGCGCGGGGCTGCCACGCCCCCCGTGATCTCCCGGGAAACACACACACGGGGGGCCTCGGCATGAGCCCACGGGGAAAAGTATCAAAATAAACCCTCTGAGGACAAGCGCGTAAGGGAAAGTGTTTAAAAAAGCGACAGGTAACCCCCATTCCGGAACCGCCGTCCCCGCCTGCAGTCCAGCGTGCGGGAGGTGGTGTCCGTGCCCCGCCCTCGCCACCGACCCGGCGTCCGGCGCCGCGGGCACCACCGGCGAGGAGACCGGCCCCCGCCCGGTGAGCGCCAGCCCGGCGGCGGCACTGTGCCCGGCGGCGCGCAGTCCCCTGGCGCCCGGGAGGCCCGGCGGGCGGCGGCGGCCGCGAACGTCCGGGACCCGCCTACGCCTTGGCCGGCAGCAGCTTCTTGGGCGTGACGGGCCGCTTGCTCTGCCACAGGTGGCTGTGGATGGTGATGGCGTCCACGCTGGCCGACAGCGTCTTGGCGGGGATGTGGCTGAACTGCTTGTGGTCTGAGTTGTACTTGAAGAGCTTGTCGATCATCTTCCTGCTGATGGCCTTGGGCCCGATGCCCGTGAGCTTGGCGATGTCCTCAGTCTCCGGGCAGTACGTGTACAGGGACCGGAACTGGCAGCCCGAGTCCCGGAACAGGATCAGGAAGTTGTTCGCGTCCGACTTCTCCATTTCCTGCAGGACGGGCCACGGGGCGCCCTGAGCGCTGAGCACCCCCCCCCCCCCCACACACACACACACACGGCGCACAGACCCTCAGGGCCGGGGCCGCGGGGAGAGGAAGCCACGTGACCTGCGCCCACCCCGCCGTGGCCACGCGCAGCCACGGTCTCCGTGTGGAGGTGGGAGCGGGAGCCCGCCCGCCCGGCCGCCCGGCCGCTCACCTCGAGGATGCGCTTCTTCTGGCCCTCGTTCACCTTGCCCGCCAGGCAGCAGTGCGCCAGCGCGTTCTGGATGATGTGCTTGTTGGACTTGGCGCTGGGCTCCTTGTAGAGCTTTGGTCCTGCAGGTGGGCGGGCGGACGGCGACAGATAGCATCCCCGAGCCCCACCACACCCCCGGACCACGGCCACGGGCACCACGGCCGCGGGCACCGGCCTGGAACCCGGGCCCACACGCACACACATGGGCGGCGGCCCCTCTTATGCCACTGCAGTCCCTCCTGGACGGGGCCGAGGCCCACCCCGGGGCCGTCCCCTCACCTGCCAGCGGCCACACCCCCTCCCCGCACCTGGGAAGCCCGGTCCCAGCGGCGCCGGCCGGCCCGGGGCCGGGAGCCGATGGCCACGGGGGCCGGGGGCCGGCCGGGGCCGGGAGCCGATGACCACGGGGGCCGGGGGCCGGCCGGGGTCAGGGCCGATGACCACGGGGGCCGGGCGCCCCGGGGCTGGGCTGATGCCTCTCGTCCTTCGGATCCACTGAAGCCGGTCCACGGCGCCCACCTGTGTACTCGGTCCCCGAGGCCACGGAGGACGTGGTGGACGCGTTCTCCCAGTCCTTCTCCCCGTTGCGGCTGCCGCAGCGGCTGGGCGACAGGAAGCCCTCCACCGACTCCGACCTGAAAGCGCCACGCGGCCACGTCTCAGACGCCGGGGGCGGGGGCTCCAGCCACAGCGCCGGGCGGTGAGCCCGTGTGGGCTGCCCCCTCGCGCCTCCCGCGGCCGGGTCACCGCTGTGGGCGCTCACAGCTCCACGTGGAAACGCCACCAACACGACCGACGGCGACCGGAGGAGCCGGCACAGGCGTGCGGCCCCGGGTTCGGGACACGGTGACGGGCGAGGGCAGCGGCCCGGGGCCAATGGGGGGGGGAGGGGGAAGAGGAGGCGCTTTAAATCCGGCAGAAAACAGCTGGAGCCGGCGCCCTCTCCGGTCCACAGCCCGTGGCTTTGCCACGACCCCGCCTGCTGCCGTGTCTGTGGCTTGTGGAAGCGACTCATCAGCGTCACTAGTTCCAGACCCCGCTCCCCGGAAGGCGGGCAGACCCCCTGCACACGTCCTAACCGCTCTGTTCCAGTCAGCACAGCCTGTGCGCTGTGACCTCATCCTGGAAGACGGAAGCCCCCCCCCCCCCCCCCCGACAGCCGGACAGATGGGCGGACGGACAGACGGGCGGATACCTGGGCGTCCTCTTGCCGGAGTGCACGCTCTCGCTGTCACCCGTGTTCAGTGACGCCAGGGAGAGGCTGGAGACTGAAAGACACGCTAACGTCACGCCCTGAGGGAGCAGCCCTCAGGACTCACATGCATGCACACGGGGCGGACACACGTGTACACACACCCACACAAAAGCTACACGAGCACCTGAGCCGCCCGGCTCCCCCCGGCTCCCCAGACGGGAGGTGTGTGGACAGCCTCGGCCAGTGGAGCTCCGTGCAGCCACGTGACCATGCGCAGTCACGTGACCACGCCCACAGGCTGGCGCCTCCCGCACAGACCTCGCCGCGCGTTACCTGGCGGGCCCTGCGTGGGCGTCTTGGGGGGCTCCGCGTGGTCCCTGTGCATGGACTTGGGGCGCTGCTTCTTGGGCTTGGGGGGCGCGGGGCGGGGCCGCAGCACCGTGTCCATGTCCTCCATGAGCTTCAGCTGCTTGCGCCGCAGGTACTCCTGGCGGATGAACTCCCGGCGCGCCCGCTCGTCCTCCTTCCGCTGCCGCTCCTCCTCCGTCTTCCGCCTGCAAACCAGCGGCTCTAACCACTGACCCACCTGTCCCCTCCTCAGGCCGCGTCCTCCCCCGTCCCTCCTCGCGGCCGCGTCCTCCCCCCTCCCTCCTCCCCCGTCCCTCCTCACAGCCATGTCCTCCCCTGTCCCTCCTCCCCCGTCCCCCCTCCCCCGTCCCTCCTCCCCCGTCCCTCCTCACGGCTGCCCTCCCCCGTCCCTTCCCTCCTCCCCCGTCCCTCCTCCCCCCTCCCCCCTCCCCCTCGCGGCCGCGTCCTCACCGCGTCTCCTCCCCCCTCCCTCCTCCCCCCTCCCCCCTCCCCCGTCCCCCCTCGCGGCCGCGCCCTCACCGCGTCTCCTCCTTGCGGTGCTCCAGCTCGGCCTCCAGCTGCTGCCGGCGGAGCTGCGCCTCCTTCTCCCGCCGCAGCCGCTTCTCCAGCAGCGCCGCCCGCCTCAGCGCCATGTCGTCCTCCGCCTTCTGGTCGTCCTGGCGCGGCCACGGAGACGGGGAGGGTCAGGTGCCGGCCCCGCCCCCTCCGTTCTGTGGCCGAGCCCGAGCCCCCTTCCCCGCCCTCCAGCCCCCACACGGCCGGCCCAGGAGGGGAGGGAGGGAGTGCACGGAGGCGCTGCGTCTACGGGACAGACTACTGAGGACAGACTCTGGTTCTGAGCCGGGGAGTCAGCTAGAACCACCCGCCACGGACAGGGGGAAGGACAGGGGCGTGCCTTCTGGACCCGTGTTTAAGCGGCACGGAAAGGCTCTAACACGCGTGCCCCAGAGACGGCAGCTCCCGCGGGCACTGCCGGCCGGGGCTCTGCAGGAGCAGGATGCTCCACCTGCGCCACCCGCCAGGCTGACAGCCCCGTGGGAGGGGGAGAGGCAGAGGCGCAAGGCCAGCACCTCCAGGTGTGCACCGTGAACGTTCTAGAAACCAGCGAGCCGCGTGTGTGGAGGGCCCCGGGGAGAAGCCTGCTGGGGCTGGGACCGGGCTGGCGGGCAGAGCCGCCCCGGCTCCCTCGCCCCCCGCCGGGCACAGCCGCCCCGGCTCCCCTCTCCCCTCGCCCCCGCTGGGCACAGCCGCCCCGGCTCCCCTCTCCCCTCGCCCCCCGGGCTGGCGGGCACCTTGAAGAAGAAGCCGCAGCACACTTTCTGCTCCTCGTCCGGCGGCTCCCGGTCGCTCTCGCCGTCCTCCCTGTCGGCAGGCACGTCCGCCTTCTCCGGGGCCTTCAAGTCCGAGAGCGACACCTCGATGAGGCTGGCGCCCTTGGCGGCGGCGGCGGGCGGGCCGGCGGGCCGGGGGGCGTCGGCGCCGGGCGTCAGGCACACGGTCTCGGTCACGGGCTGGGCCAGCACCTCGGCCACGCTGGCCGGCACGGGCTCCCCCGGGGGCCGCGCGGGCGGCTCGGGGGCCTCCGGGGGGCCGGGCCCGGGCTCGCCGTCGCCGAAGCACACGAAGGAGCGCGTCTGGATGGGCACCTGGCTGGGCGAGAAGCGCCGCAGCCGCGGGAGGCTGTCCACGGAGCGCGGCGGCGTCAGCGTGCGCGTCAGCGGCGCGATCTTGAGCTCGCTGGGCCGCGGCGCGCGTGGCGTCCGCACCGAGAAGGACGCGCTCTTGCGGGGCAGGGGCAGCGGGGCTGGGGGCGCGGATCGCGGGGGCTCGGGGGCCGGGCCGGGCCGGGCGGGCCGGGGGTCCCGGGCGGGCCGGGGGGGCGCGGGGTGGGGCGGGGACACCACCCAGGCCTGGCGGTCCCGCATGCGCATGAGCGCCTCCTGCTGCTGCGCCAGGCGCTGCATCTCCTGCTGCAGGAGGCCCAGCGAGGCGTTGAGCTTCTCGATGGAGCGCGTGTACTCCAGCACCTCGCCCTCTGCCGGCTCCTCGCCGGGGTCCCCAGGCGGCGCCGTGGGCGAGGGGGGCCAGGGGCCGGACGCGCCCTCCGCGCCCTCCTTGATGTCCGCCAGGCCCGGGCCGCGCTGCCCGCCGGCCCCGGGCTCCGGCTCGCGGAACGCCTGCTCGTCCTCGGCGCCGGCCGCCTCCTCGCGCAGCGGGGCGCCGTCCCCCCGCCGCTTCACCACCGAGAGGAAGGCCGTGCGGCCCATGCGCTGCCGCTGCCGCGTGAAGGCGGCCTCCACCTTGCGCTTCTGCGCCTCGATGGCGCGGCGCTTCTCCTCCAGCCGCATGCGCAGCTGCAGCACCTCCGAGGCCAGCAGCTGCGCGCTGTCCCGGCCGGGCCCCGCGTCCTCCGCGCCCGGCGCCCAGCCCACCACGTGCGGGATGTTGAGCTCCGAGCCCTCGGGCGTGGTCTTCTGCGAGCTGCTGCCGCTGCTGCGGCCGTCCGTGTGGCTGAGCTTGCGGAACTTCTGCTCGGCGAAGCTGGTCATGCGGACGCCGGAGCCGGAGGAGGCGCTGCTGCCGGGCTGCGAGCGGGTGCTCACGGAGCTGGGGCAGGGGCTGGGCGCCTCGCGCAGCAGCTTGGGAGCGTCCTCCGTGTCCGAGTCCAGGCTGACGGTGTAGTCCCGCAGCGAGGAGTCCTCGTCCACTGTGCCCGGCAGGTCCTCGGACGGCACGTGGATGCCGGTGTCCACCTCGGTGTCGTCGGTGCCGGGGCTCGGGGCGCCGGCGGGGCTGGTCAGGGGGTCGGGGCTGGGCGGGCGCAGCTGCAGGCCGGCGCGCGGGGGGCTCAGGTCCTGGCTGTGCAGGAAGAAGCCGTTGGCGACGTGGCCGGGCGGGGCCGCCGGGGGGCGCTGCTCCGTGTCGTGGATGATCTGCAGCGCCTCCTCAATGCTCGGCGTCTCGCCGGGGCCGCCCGGCTTGCCCGGGAGCAGGCCGGGCTGCAGCGCCCCGTTGGGGAGCCGGGGGCGGGTGTTCTCGCCGGGGCCGAGCTTGGGCGGGGGGTGGGGCACGTAGGTGGGGAAGCCCCCGCGGGGGTCGCCCATCTCCTCCTCGATGCCCCCCGCCTCGCCCTCCCCGTTGACGGGCTGGAAGGTCAGGCTCTTCCTCGTGGTCTTGGCCGCGCGGCCGTGGCTCAGGGACAGCCCCTCGTTGCTGACGGAGCGGGGGATGCCCCGACTGGGGGCGCTCCTCGGCGCCGTGTTCTCTTTGTCGAAGGAGATGTCGAAGGAGACGCCGTGCACGGACGACCTGAACGGAATCCAGAGAGGAGACCCTTCAGCGATCCCGGGAGAGAAATGGCTTTTACGGTCACAGTCTTCCCGGCACCTGCAGCGGCCGCTCCGGGCGCCCGGCGGGACCCGAACCCAGGACGCCCCGGTCCCCCCCGTAAGCGGCAGAGTGTGCGGGTGACCCCCCCCACGCCCTCCCGTGCACTGCGTGTCACGTCATGGAGACTGGGAACCCTGGCGACACAGGACACGTGAGCACAGAGGAACTTCCCACCCACCCACCCCGCATATGTTCCAGCCGCAGCGGACTGAATCCATGGGGTATCCTCCTCAAAGCCAGCCTCGGCCGGTCCGGCCGGTCCCCGCCCACGCCGCCCCCCTCCCGTGAGGAGCTCGGGGAAGGCGCGCTGCGATGTGACCGTCGGCAGAGGGGACAGACGGAGCGGCACCTCCCGGTCACCTGACTGACGGACGGGACTCCCCGTTTACCTCTTCTCCTTCGGCCAGGTCCCTATGAAGCCGTCGACGTAAGACATGGACGAGGACCTCCGGATTCCTCCTTCACATGAGAAGAAAAAAGTCACTGCGATCACACAGGAAAGTGTAAACTACAGCGGTTTAACAGAACTCACATCCCTGCGTGTGCGTGTCCGTTCACATTCACGCAGTGAACCTGCTGACGTGGCATTCCCTCGGCTTTTCCCATAGATTACCTGAGGCTGCAGGAGGCTGGGGGCGCGCGTGTCTGGAAGACAAGTGATGAGGGAACACATCTCCCGCGCTGCAATGCAAACCGAGACACCGTTACAATGTTGCAGCCGCTGTTACAACGTCGCAGCCGCTGTTACAATGTTGCCGTGTGCTTCCACTCTGCGTGGAAACTGTACACAGAACGGCTGAGACCAGACAAGCGTGAAGGGGACCGTAGCCAGGCGGACGGTGGTACGGTAATCGGTGACAGGTGACCACCGGGATCAGCGGGTGACCACACTTAGGTAAGGTGTGCAAATGCTGCATCTCTATGCTGTACACCCGAGACCACCATGACCAACAGGAGGCTGTATCCCAGCCGAACTGAAACACATTTCGCCGGCTTTTGAGGCGAGCGCACCAAGACCTATTCAGTTCATAGTCCCCCGGGGAAGGCTGAGGCTCGCGGGCCACGTGACTGAGTGAGTCTGGCTCCGGGGTGAGTGGCCAACGGGAGGGGAGGGGCCTACCTCGCGGGGCCCGGGGAGCTGTCCGCGGTGCTGGCTCGGGCGTCCGGGGCGGGCGCTGCAGGCTCAGCTGCGACAGAGACGAAAACCCTCAGCGTTACACACCCGGGCAGCGCGTTTCCAACACCATCTCAGCAATTCTAGGCCGCAGATCGCTTTAATCTCAACTCCCCTTCCTACTCACAGGGAAATCCCAGTATATGTAAAGCTATCTTCTTCTTAAAAAAAAAAAAAAAATCTTTACTGATTTCAGAGGGAGAGACAGGAGCAGTAACGAGGAATCATGGATGGGCTGCCCCCTGCACGCCCCCTCCTGGGGGCCCAGCCCACAGCCTGAGCAGGTGCCCTATGGATCGAACCCTGACCTCCTAGGTCAGTCGAGGCTGAACCGCTGAGCCACCCTGGCCGGGCCTTTATTTCTGACGGCTGTTAGCATGTGCAGTCACCAGATCATGGCACTGCAGTAACCACACACACACACACACACACACACACACACACCTTCCTGTGGTCTAAGGACAGGTTCAAACGGCACATGGAAGCCAAGAAGCGTAACGAGGGGATTCTGGGTAACCACGGTGAAAACAGAATCTCAGCGGGGGGGACGAGAGCCGGGCTGGAGAAAGCGGCCACAGCCGGCGTCAGCCCTGCACGGAGCACCCGTGGCTTTCACAACCGCACGCTCGGGTTTATCCAGTCACCGCCGCCGAGCCTGAGCGGGCAGGGCTCCCCTGCCAGGGGGGTGCGAGGGCCACCGGCCTCCGCGCACGCGCAGGACACTCGGCGGGGCAGGGAACGGGGCGCGGGGGCGCACACACACGCACACACGCACGCACATGCACACGCACACACGCACCTCCTTGTGCACGCAGCACGCGGGGCTGCACGAAGGACGGCTTCACCACCTCGAACCACCAGAAGAGCTCGGCCATGAACACCAGGTAGTTGCTCTGGAGGGGGGAGGGGAGACGGTGAGGTGCGGCTGCTCAGGGGGCTCCTGCTCGCTGGGGGGGTGGTACCGCGCGTGGCCACCAGAGGTCAGCAGAGGGAGGGACAACGGTCCCAGCACCACAGCTCACACCCAGGGCATTCCACCTCCAGCTCCTCTCTCCGGCTCTGACGACATTCACGCAGCTGCATACGGCGCTCCCTCTCCCTCCCTCCCTCCTTCCCTCCCTCTCTCTCTCCCTCTCTCTCTCTCTCTCTCACGTGCGCTGTTTCAGAAGGCCCCGGCTGACTGACAGCTCCCTGCGGCTCCCGGAGCGGGGTCCCGGGGAGGGAGAGGGGAGGGGGCGGGCGCACCTTGATGGAGGCGGCGGCGTAGAGCATGTCCTCCAGCGAGAAGTGGCAGCACTGGGTCAGGTGCTCCTGGCAGAACTCCTGGACCAGCTGCAGGTTGTACAGGCTGTCAGCCAAAGACATGGTCTCTTTCAGACAGACATCTTCAAACGGGAAGAGAGCGAGGTGAGCGCTTGGGGTGGATCGGACAACACACGTTTCAGACCCCGCTCCCCGACTCGGGCGCGCACGCACACGCACACGCACACGCATGCACCTGGCGTCTGCTTCACACACACGCACACGCACTCAACACGGACAGAGCAAGCACGCCTCCCGCCGCCCCCTCGGTCACAGCGATCCCCCATGCGCCCAGGTCCCCACACACACTGTCACACACACACACACACGCACACGCACACACACGCACACACACGCCCCGGCGCCCCCGCTCACCCTCCAGCCGCACCACGCCGGGGCAGTAGAAGTGGATGAGGGCGGCCAGCGCGCAGCCGTCCGCCCCGTCCTTGAGCAGGTTCTCCACGAGCGGGATGCAGGGCAGCTGCCGCAGCGTCTGCTCCTTCCGGTACCGCGCCTGCGGGCAGCGGGGGCGTCAGGCGGCCACACGGGGACGCGGGCGCCCTGGTCTGACACAACCCAACGCCGAGCACAGAGAATGGCCCGGTCCCCAGCATCCCCTCTCCTCAGCACCGGCGCCTCTCCACGTCACTCACACACACACACACACTCACACACACACACACACACACACACACTCACACACACACACACACACACACACTCACACACACACACACACAGACATACACACTCTCTCACACACACACACAGATACACACACAGACACTCACACAAACATACACAGACACACTCACACACATACATTCACACACACGCACTCACACACACGCACTCACACACACAGATACACACACAGACACTCACACAAACATACACAGACACACTCACACACACACACTCACACACACACACACACACTCACACACACACACACACATTCACACACACACAGACACATGGCATCACAGAGCGCCCTGCTGACACCCAGACCCCGCTCCTGGGGAGATTCCCGAGGTGCCTGTCCCTGCGACTTCAATGCCATGTCCCACCTCAGAGCCCCACCGCAGACACACAGACACACACAGACACACCGCACACACGCGCTGCGGAAAGCTGCACTGATGGCTGATGGACAATCCCTAGGACTCTGCCTGCAGCCGGCAGCAGCCGGGTGCCCGGCTCACACCGGGCGGAGGTCCCAGCCGGCAGGGATCATGGCTGCTGCCCTGCTCTCTGCCCAGCACCCTCTGCTCAAGGCGCGCACACACACACACACATGCATGGATGCACAGATGCATGGACACATGCATGGACACGCTCAAGCTCAGGCACAAGCACACGCACACACGTGTGGACGCGTGTGCGCGCACACAGCTTTGCTGGGCTTCAGCAGTGAATGTCCATGTTTACAACATTCCGCCGGAGACGGGGAGGCCCGCCAGACACTGTGCGTGGGCCAACCCCAGGCTCGGCCCTGGGAGACCGGCCTCCGGGCTCACCAGAACGGAAACCGGACATCCGAGCTGGCGAGGACCGCTGGGCACTTTCTAGCACAGTGTGCCTGCAGCTCGGCTGAAGAGAGAATCCTTTCAAAAACGTGACTTCACAACGCAAATTACCCACGCATGCAATTCACAGTCACTGCCCCCAACGTCATTCACACCAATGCTTTTGCCCTAACCCGCGTGGCTCAGGGGACAGAGCGCCGGCCTGCGGACCGAAGGGTCCCGGGTTCGATTCCGGTCAAGGGCACGGACCTTGGTTGCGGGCACATCCCCAGTGGGGGGGGGGTGTGTGTGTGCAGGAGGCTGCTGATGGATGTTTCTCTCTCATCGATGTTTCTCCCTCTCTCTCCCTCTCCCTTCCTCTCTGTAAAACATCAATAAAATGCACTGAGGGGGAAAAAAAAAGCTTTTTAAAACCTGGTCACTGGTGGTCTGTGGTCACCGACAAGATAAGCAAAGATGATTCCATGTCAAACGACCGCAGCCTCCGGCCCAGCCCTGGCGGGACTCTACCTCCCTGACCCGTGTCCGTGCCCGGCGTCCCTCTGCGTGACTGACAGCTACGTGTGACCGCACGGCAGGACACGGCAAGGCCACGCTACGATCACGGTTCTCAGGGCACACTTACGGGCACCAGCTTCCAAAACCACTTGGAGGGAGACTTCAGAGGAGCAGCGGAGGGGGAGGGAAAGGAAAGCGTCAGGGTTAGTGTCGGCAAAGCTACAGACCTCCCCCCGCGGGCCCAGCGACGGCCCGTCACCTCTCCGAACGCCGGGTAACACCCCAGCTTACGCCCACGGTCCGTTTACAAGCAGCGCACGCGGACAGAAGCACGTTACACCCGGTAAGTTCATACAGACAGCAGCGAGGACAGACCTGCTGACGGCGGGATCCTCGTAAATCCAGGGGGGACGGAGCCCGGTTACCAGGGCGGGGACTAAGGGAAGGCCGCCCAATCAGGCGGCCGAGGCCTCCCAGTATTTGGTGGAAATAACGGTGTGAAGAGGGGGGACCCAGGTAAGCAAGGTGTCGCGTGTGAGGGCGGCGCACCGTGAGAGCCCGTGTTTGTTCTGTGTGTTCACACACGCATGGAACGCCCGCGTCGATGAGAACATTGCAGGTTCGACACCAGGTTCCCCAGCGCAGGCGCCAAAGAACACAGGACTGGGATGTCAGCACCTGCCACGCGCAGCAGGGCTCAGAGGTCACACGTGTTTGGGAGACCGATGGCAGGCTCTGAGGGGCCCGGGGGGAGGGGGGAGCAGGGGAGACAGCATCTCCTCCCGTGTACTCGGCGCTGCCTGCAGAACCGGATTCGGGAGAAAGCGGGTTAGGGTTTAGGCGGCGGCGACCGGGCAGCATGCGATTGCCTCACGGGGAGAGGGGGCTGTTCTGAGACTCCACCTCGCGTGGAAGCAATTAGAACGAGGGGGTGTCCCCTCTCCAAGGCACTCCTTCCCCCGCGCCCGGCCCGAGAGCCCCTCCCCGACATCTCCCTCTCAAGAGCGGCGATGCGACACCGAGCAGACTCGCCCCTTTAGCGCCCGAGACACAGACTCTCCATACGGTCAGGCTTATAGACGCGAGGACGCACGCCCGTGGACCCGCCCCCGCTCTGCTGGCTGGTCCGAGGAGCCACGTCTCCGCCGCACGCCCGCTGCACACGTCCCCGTGCCCCAGTGCCCCGCTTTCCGCGGCCCTCACACGCCTGACCCGTTCCCGCGGTGCTTTGTGCAGTTCACCAGAGTCTAAACCGTTCTTTTCTCCAAACGAAGCTCAGCACCACCGTCCCCTCCCCTCTGCCTGGTGCTTCCACGGAGGCCGCGCTCCCCAGCACCGTGACCGTCACCGGGAGCCAGTGAGCTCCCCGGGGGCACCGGCCGGCGTGGGCGCGCCCGCGTACCTTCTGACCGCCGGGGGCTTCGGCTGCGCGCTGCTCCCTCAGCTTCTGCTCCTGCTCCAGGATGCCCTTCAGGTGCTCGTTCACCTGCCGCACACAGCCCCGGAGGGAAGGCCCGTCACGGGAGCGAGAGGAGAGCACGCGCCCCCACGCCTGTGGCACACTGTGTGCCACAGCGCCCCCTCCAGGGGACGCCTCCCCTCCAGGCCGGAGGGAGGCGCCCACAGGGGCCGCATCCGCTGGGGTGGGGGGGGGGGGTGAGCTCACGGACTCAGAGGCTGCCCAGCGCCCCTGTGGGCGGGACAGGCCAGCAGGAGCCTCTCCCTCTCCCTCCCTCTTTTGGGGGGAAAAAATTGAAAGAAAAAGACATTTACGAAGGGGGTGGGGTGGGGTGGGAAATGCTAACGAGATTGCACAACCTGCGCTCTCGCTGTGACCTAGAACAGAAGGGTAATGAAGTGGCTGTGAGCAGCAGAGACGGGCCCCTCACAGCTGGAGGCTGCGGGGCGGATGGGGGCGGGGAGAGCCCGCGTCTGGCGGCCATCTTCTCCCCTCCCCACCCCTGACACCACACACCTGGGGACACAGGCCGCACCCCCCGCGGAGCGTGAGCGAGGACCTGGCCGCACCCACCTTGTTCATCCAGTACATGACGGCGTCCTCGATGTCGCAGGGCAGGTCGGCGGCCTGGAGGAGGGGGGAGTACCGCTGGGCGCAGGCGACGACCTTCTCCACGCTCACCATCTCCGCCGTGTAGGCCATCATCAGCGTGTCCATCATGGCCAGGTGGGCGCTCTGCAACCGAGCGGGACCCGCTCAGCTGCCTGAGGCGCGGGGGACGCCCCGAAACCCGAGAGCCGCCCCCCGCCCTCCCCTTCCTCTCCGACACCGGTGAGAATTCGTAAAGGGGCCGAAACCGGTGTGGCTCAGTGGATAGAGCGTCGGCCTGCGGACTGAAAGGTCCCGGGTTCGATTCCGGCCAAGGGCGTGGACATTGGTTGCCGGCACATCCCCAGTGGGGGGTGTGCAAGAGGCAGCTGGTCGATGTTTCTCTCTCATCGACGTTTCTAGCTCTCTCTCTCTCTCTCCCTTCCTCCTCTCTGTAAAATATCAATAAAATATATATTTTAAAAAATATATATATGTAAAGGGGACGGCAGGCTGTGCCTTGTCTCCAGGCCCCGTCCTGCAGGGCCCTGCCTGCTTGGCCCAGGCCAGCTCTGCAGAAAAGCTCACGCTTAGCAACTGCACGGACACACGTGACGGGCAGAGGCTGGCCGGGCCACGCCGGCCGCGCACGGACACTCTCCCCCGCCCCCGCCCCCGCCCCCCGCCCTGGCCCGTCCGGACGGGGCGCACCATCTGGATGGGCCTCCGCTGCAGGTCCCGCTCGGTCACCAGCCGCTCCTGGTCGGTGACGTAGAGCCCCTTCTGCGCCAGGGCCTGCACCACGGCGTCATGGCCCACCAGTGGCTTGGCTGCGTCGCTCTTGAGGATGAGGCTGCCCGCACGGCAGTACAGCTCGGCCGACAGCAGCAGCTGCAGGACGGGCGGCTTGATGTGCTCCTGGTCGTACTGGTCCGTGTAGAAGGGCTCTCGCAGCTCCTCTGGCACGTGCTCTGGGGGCGGAGGACACGTGTGCCCGCTGTGAGCCTGCCATCGCGCCAAGGCGCCCTCAGAGGACGGCGGCCACTCGCTCCCGAAGGCGAGCGGACAGCGGGAGCGCCGATCGGGCATCGCCCGGGGCCGGCGCTCGGCTCTCGCAGGGCGGAAGCCGGGAGGGCGGGGAGGGGACGGCGCACACACCGAGTGGAAATATCCACGCGCAGCTGGGGACCGTGCGGGACGCCGGAAGCGGGTCAGCAGCAGCGGGAGCAATCTGGGATCTGGGGGCGATCTAAAAATAGCCGCCCGCTGAGTAACTGAAAGCACGCTCCGCCCGCAGCCACGTCAACCAGCGGCCACCGGCTGCCCGCTGTGGGCAGGGCCCACGCTCGCTGGGAACCACAGAGGGACGGCGTGGGGACCCACTAGCTTAGCACCCAGGACCCGAGGGACCCCTCACCCAGCACCCAGGAGCCGAGGGACACCTCACCCAGCACCCAGGAGCCGAGGGTCACCTCACCCAGCACCCAGGAGCTGAGGACCCACCTCACCCAGCACCCAGGAGCCGAGGGTCACCTCACCCAGCACCCAGGAGCCGAGGGACACCTCACCCAGCACCCAGGAGCTGAGGGACACCTCACCCAGCACCCAGGACCCGAGGGACAGCTCACCCAGCACCCAGGAGCCGAGGACCCACCTCACCCAGCACCCAGGACCCGAGGGACAGCTCACCCTGCACCCAGGAGCCAAGGGACACCTCACCCAGCACCCAGGACCCGAGGACACTTCACCCAGCACCCAGGAGCCAAGGGTCACCTCACCCAGCACCCAGGAGCCGAGGACACCTCACCCAGCACCCAGGAGCCGAGGACCCACCTCACCCAGCACCCAGGAGCTGAGGACCCACCTCACCCAGCACCCAGGAGCTGAGGGACACCTCACCCAGCACCCAGGAGCCGAGGACACCTCACCCAGCACCCAGGAGCCGAGGACCCACCTCACCCAGCACCCAGGAGCTGAGGACCCACCTCACCCAGCACCCAGGAGCTGAGGGACACCTCACCCAGCACCCAGGAGCCGAGGACACCTCACCCAGCACCCAGGAGCCCAGGACCCACCTCACCCAGCACCCAGGACCCGAGGACACCTCACCCAGCACCCAGGAGCCGAGGGACACCTCACCCAGCACCCAGGAGCCGAGGGACACCTCACCCAGCACCCAGGAGCCGAGGACCCACCTCACCCAGCACCCAGGAGCTGAGTGTTTCCACCCCAGAGAAGCCGCGGCCGCAGTGCCTGTTCCAGAACAGGTCGCTGTGCACATGTGCATGTTATTTTTATTGACTTCAGAGAGGAAGGGAGAGGGAGAGAAACACCCATGATGAGAGAGAATCAGGGATCAGCTGCCACCTGCACACCCCACACTGGGGATGGAGCCCACAACCCGGGCCTGTGCCCTGACTGGGAATCGAACCCTGACCGCCTGGCTCCTAGGTCGACGCTCCACCACGGAGCCACGCCGGCTGGGCCCAAGCAGGTCACTTTACAGCCAAGTCTTTTTTTTTTTTTTTTAAATATATATTTTATTGATTTTTCACAGAGAGGAAGGGAGAGGGAGAGAGAGCTAGAAACATCGATGAGAGAGAGTCATCGATCAGCTGCCTCCTGCACACCCCCTACTGGGGATATGCCCGCAACCAAGGTCCATGCCCTTGGCCGGAATCGAACCCGGGACCCTCCAGTCCGCAGGCCGACGCTCTGTCCACTGAGCCACACCGGTCCCCGCCAAAGTCTTGAGGAATCACATGCGACTGGGAAAGGTCTCCTTTCTACCCACAGGCGGACTCCGTTTCCAGAGCAGTTTGGGCTTGCATCGCGTTTGGAAACCGTGAACCGAGACGCGCGCCGGGAGATAAACAGGCCCGGCGATAAGAGGTTTCGCCCGCTCCCCGTGAGGCCCAGATAAGAGGGATCCAGGGAGCACCCTCCCGGGCCTGCCAGGGACGCGACGGGTTTCTCTCGTGCCCAGCCCAGCCCAGCCCAGCGACCCTCCCGGCTCTGAGTCCGAAACCCGCCAACGGGCACGGCGTGCTGCCCCATGACGGCCGTTTTCTGTGAGGCTGGGCGGCTGCCCGCCGCAGCCGAGCGCCTGGAAGGGAAGGCCCCCTGGCCGCTCTCCGCCCCGGCGCAGTGTCCCCTTCAGAGCCGCCTCTGCGCCCAGCAGCCCGGCTGCTCCTCCCCACCCTTCATGGAGGCTCTTCCCATCACTCAGTGACTGGCACCTGCCTTACCCGGGGGTCTCCATTCCCTACCGAACACTCACTGCCTACGCGGCTCAGGCGCTCAGGGGCCTCCGGACAGCAGCACGTGTCCCTGTCTGTGTCCTGGCCCCGAGGACAAGGACGAGGACCAGGACGGCCCGCACCCCGCGCCGGGAGTGACTCAGGGCGGGCCTCGGAGCAGAAGCCAGGGGAGAGCTGCTCCCTCCTTCCCATCACATGCCGGCGGGCGGGCGGGAGGGCGAGGTGCTGGGCCTGCAGCATTCCTGGGCTCGCAGTCGCCTCCCGTGACCACGCCTCCGGCTGCTCATCTCTCCCATCTCTTCCCCATGGCACAGGAAGCCTCACTCCACCACACACACACACACACACACACACACACACACACGAAGGGGAGACTGAACGACCTGTGGGGGCCGGAATGGCAGTGTGGGCACGAGCCAGGGTTCCCATCTCGCTGTGGAGACAGCGAGGAGGCTGCGGGCTGTGTGTGCGCGCCACGTGGTCTCCCTCCATCACCAATGAGCACAGCCTGCCCGCGAGAGGAGCACTCCTGGAGGAATGAGCCCTGCAGTTCCCTCCGCTCCCACTGCCCCGGGGCCTCCTGCTCCGCCGGCTCCCCCCGCCCCCAAGCACTGGAAGTGCGCGCTGCCCTGGATCCTGCTGCAGCGCCTGCCTTCTCGCCCGGGACCTCCTCTCCTCAGGTGCTCTCACACTCACACAGGATTCCACGCTGTCACCCCCTCCTCCTCAGCCGCGCTGCACGCCCACTGCAGCCAGCGGCCGCCTAGGCTTCTCCGAGGCTTCCGCGCCAAGTTCAAGGTTCCCTCAGACAATGGTGGCGTGCCTTCCACCCCGAAGCTCTCCCCCCCCCCCCCACTGGCCAATGGCAGCGCGACTCACCTCCCAGTCTGACTCTCAGAAGCTCAGGGGACCGCGCGCACCCTTGACCTCCGGTGGCCTCACACTCGCACCGACTGCCTTCAATTCAAACCCCCCCTGGACCCCGAGTCCGTCACCCAGAACCGGGTCCCTCCCTCCGACCTAACGCCTCGTTCCCACCAGCCTGCCTTTCACCCGTGCCGGGAGCTCCTACCCGTGCCGGACAGCCCCCACCTGTGCCGGACAGCCCCCACCCGTGCTGGACAGCCTCCACCCTAACCGGACAGCCCACACCTGTGCCGGACAGCTCCCACCCGTGCCGGACAGCCCCCACCCGTGCCGGACAGCTCCCACCCGTGCCGGACAGCCCCCACCCGTGCCGGACAGCCCCCACCCGTGCCGGACAGCTCCCACCCGTGCCGGACAGCCCCCACCCGTGCCGGACAGCTCCCACCCGTGCCGGGAGCTCCTACCAGTGCCGGGCAGCTCCCACCCGTGCCGGGAGCTCCTACCCGTGCCGGGCAGCGGTCACGAGCAGGCTCCGCTCCGGAGGGGGTGGTGCTGATGTGCTCCTACCCTCTGGGCCTCGGCTCCTCCCGTGTAACGGGAGTGACTGACAGCTTCCAGCTCCTGACCAGCCTCCTCCCATCCTGCCTCCTGGGATTCCGTGAGAGAAGACAGGGAAGTGCCGGCCACGGGAGGTGTAATTCTCAGTAACTGTGAGCAGCCGGTGGGCATGCTCAGCGGTTGAGCATCAACCTATGAACCAGGAGGTCACGGTTGGAAGGCTGATCAGGGCACAGGCCTGCGTGGCGGGCTCAGTCTCCAGCAGGGGGCGTGCAGGAGGCAGCTGATTCATGATTCTCATCACTGATGTCTCTCTCCCTCACCCTTCCTCTCCGAGATCAGTAACAACATATTTTTTTTAAAAAAAATTAACTGTGAGCAGACATTTTAGGGGGAGGATCCAAGATGGCTGCTCGGGTAGACATCTAGCCGCGGCAGCACACAACAATTTCAATGGAATACAACTAAAATGTAGAGTGGACATTGCCCAGAGCTACAGGTAGTCGACTGACTGAAATTTCTACAACAAGAAGGAAAGAGAAAACCAGAAAGAAAATCAGAGGAGCTGAAAAAAAGCCTAAGGTACGGAGACATGCTGCGCGCGCCTGCCCGCCCGCACGCGCGCACGGAGAGGTCGCAGCCGGAGAGGAGGAGAGGGCGGGGAGCCGCCTTTCCTTCCCCAACAGGAAGGAAATAAAACCCCCAGCCTGGGCTGAACCCCCGAACCGGCAGCGCTGAGCCCCCCCGAACCGGCAGCGCTGAGCCCTAGTTATGGGCCAGACCCTGGGGACCCAGGCTCCGGCGGGAGGAGACGGGGCTGTGAGGCGGAAAACGGCGAAAGGCAGGGCCCCGGGAGTCGCGCGCAATGCGCGCAGAGGACTGAATGTTGACTCCGATGCTGGGTTGCCCTAGCCGGAAGAAACAAGGCCTCCGGCGGCGGTGAGCCTCAGTCCGGACTGCTCCGAACCCCAGTTCTGGGCCAATCCCTGGGGACCCAGGCTCAGGCAGAGGGAGACGGGGCTGTGAGGTGGAGTCCGGGGAGAGCGGCGAAAGGCCGGGCCCCCGGGACTCGCGCAAACTGCGCGCAGAGGACAGTCTGTGGGACTCGCGCAAACTGCGCGCAGAGGACAGTCTGTTGACTCTGATGCTGGTCTTCCCTAGCAGGAAGGAGAAAAAAAAAGCTCTAGGCTGGGGGAACGCGGAGGGGAGCGGAAGCCCCTGCCGGACTCCAGCCAACCGGGCACCAGCAAGGAGGCGGGCCACGGGGCCCCTGGGGGCGTGGGTGC